CCTGCACTGTGGGCCAATTCCTTCTACTTGAAGCATCCACTCACTGCAGCCTGGTTGAGTTTTTACCATGATATAACTCATAGGAATCTCCAGAAGATGAAAGGATGGGAGAAGCTGTCACCTGTGTTAACATATGGACACTGTAGGCCTATCTATTTTCATTCCTTTCTTCAGTGTCTCACCTTCAAGTCTGAGTGCTATAAGCCAGGCTTTAAATTTGTAATCTCTGGATGAGCCCTTCTTTTCACCCCCTGCCCTCTAAAGACTTGGCTCGATTTTCCCTCACAGAAGGCTTCAAGGAGATTTGCCCAGCAGGACATGGCTACACCTACTCTAGCTCTGATATCCGCCTGTCCATGAGAAAGGCAGAGGCAGAAGAGCTACCTCTCAGTTTGGAAGAGCAAAGGCAAAGCCACAACTGGACATTAGATTGGGCAGGAAGAAGACAGCAACTGCAGGACAGCTTGCATGGGAGCGTCATGGAGACATTCCTCCATCCTGACACCTCAGCAGGAGAAGGTAGTGTGGGATCTAATGCTCAAAGCTGATCCATCAGGGTCTATAGCAAGGAAGGGCAAATTCCCAATGCCTATCTTGTCCCCGTGGCAGAATTTCTAGCTGATAAGAGCTCTCTGTATGTATGTGGCTATGCAAGGTGTCTTTCAGTCCAAGCAGTATCCCCAGGACCCTAGACAAAGCCTCATCAAGCCTTTGGAGATGAGATTGAGTGTTCCTGGCTCCTGTGATTATATCTTTGCAGATGGTTCTGCGTGGCCATACTACCTCTGCTTGGACCTCAGGTCTATGTAGGAGCTTTGGCGCTGCAGTCCTTAGTCATTTGTCCAGTACAGCCAGAGGAAAGTGTGACTGGTGACTTGTGCCAGCATCTACTGGAGTGGAAGGTCCTGGGGTCTGTGTGGGAGAGGAGTCCTGATGTGTTGGCTTTGGGAACAAGCTCTTATTGAGGAGAATGAGGGGCTCAGTGGCAGTGTCTGGGAGTTAGGTGATGTTAGAGCAGCCAGGTCTCAGAAAGGATGGCAAACTACCTTGTCTCTACTCACCATGCACTCTTTCACTTTCCAGGTGAAGTTTCTCCTACTGGGCAGGTGAGTAAGTCTCTGTATATCTGTGGTGCCATGGTAGGCAGGAAGAGCCACGTGGATCATACAGATAGGTGGTGGGGAGGTGTGAAATGTCATCTGAGATAGGACTAAGGAGAGCAAATAGCTGCTGGCAGTGTGAACTACAGACCCACCTGAGCTGCTGTAGCTGAAGTCATTGCCCCACCAGTTACCCTACCTAACACAGTGGCTAACTTGAGAAATCAGAATGTCAAGTTCAGAGGAACTCTGCTTTGTTCAGGATGGGGTTCTCAGAATAATGTAGTCCTGCCATGTGCACCCAGTCATGGGACCAGCTCTTCCCATGGCAGTGTCTCAGAGAGCAAGAGGAGCTGGGGAAGGGAGTGGGAAAGTGTCCTGGGGAAATTGCCCCTCAGCTACGTTCATGTGAAAAGAGATGTCTAATGTTTCTGTCCCTCAGGGCCCTGCTGAGGCCACCCCAGAGCCTGCCACACACACTGGTAAGTGCCCAGCTGGCATGCGGTCAAGATGGTAGTAGAGAAGAGCTTTGAGCTCCTTCTCTGCATAACACCAGGCAGTACTGGGTAGGATGGCCTCTTGGCTGATCTGCCTGAGGGTCAGGCAGAGGGAGCCAACGTTACGCAGTGGGCAGATGATCAGAGATCATCTGGGGCTCTGGAGCAGATGATGTGTGATTGTAGGGGTGTGGGGACATGGTGCCTCTGCTGCAAGCCATGCTAGCTCTGTAGGGAGTGACATAAATAAGATTTTGTTTGTTCTTTTATTTTTAATAACAAGATGGTAAAGTTTCTGCACCAGAGTCTGACACCGCCCCTGCATTTTCCTATAAGCTGTCTCAGAACTGTGGGTGCTGGGATACCAGAATGGGAAGGTTTTGTGCCTGGGGTCCCAGGCTGGAGATCATGTCTTTCTTACTATTCCTCAATCACCTCAGCAGAGAAGGAAGAGCCCCCACATGTCCTCCCCACGGTGGGCATTGCTACCCCTGACATTGATGCATCTCCAACACAGACGTCAGCACAAGGCCCAGGTGGGTGTCCACAGCTTTGGGGGATTTCCCTCCTCTATGTGTCTGAAACTACAAGGAAATTGTGTCCGCAGCTCTGTGCTGGTGCTTTCTCCTTTTTCTCTTGTCTTCCCACTTGCCCTACTTGACTTCCTGTACAAAAGTCCATAGCATAACACCCTGGAGTGTTGTCACTGCCCCGCAGCCTGACTCTGACTGCTCCCAGCCTAGGAAGATCCTGTGCCCTTCCTTGCCTGCAGTTTGTTTGTCTGACACAGCATGGCAGTGACTCCCAGAGTAGGGGGAATCACGCGCTTACTCTAGTGGCTTTGGCACCATTCCCTCTGTAGTGGATTGTTGAGTCACTGGGAAGTCAGAGTGGAAGGGGAAGCATGTGGCTCCCGGGGGTGGGTTGTTTACTGCGTGGATAACAAGAATTCTGTTGTTACAGGGTTGCCTAAGTGTCTGGGAGCGTAGTCTGTGCTCCTCTGCGTGGGGCTGGAGCACCTCTGGGAGAAGGCCTGGCGGAGGCACCTTGCTATGGAATGTGCCTCCATCAATAGCCTTTTGTTTGAGGTTGGTCTGGCCTTGGGCCTGGCTGAGCACTGAGGGCTGTGCAGTGTCACTGCTGGCCTTCTCCTGCAGCCCTTTGCTTCCCCGCCACTGTCTGTCCGCTCTTCGGTGGCATGGTGGGAAGGCAGGTGAGTGTCCCAGCCTGTTGTTGTCCAAGGAGCCTCTGGGTGCTGTGCTTTGCTACCAGCTCTCCTCTGAGGTCTCTTGCCTCTATGGGGCTGGCTGGTGTCATACGGCACCTTGTGAGGTTGGAGCTCAGTGATGCTGGCGGCTGGGGCATCCCAGCTCAACTCAGGGCCAGAGGAGGTGGCAGGGTGTGCACTTGAGAATGACATGTCCTCCCTACAGCCCCATGGACACAGGTTATGTGAAGATAAGAGGGGCAAGCTGAGCCAGCTCCATTGCTATCCAAAAGGGACCACGGAGACAGCAGTCTCCCAGGAAATTGTTAGTGGGGACCCAAGACACAGACCTTGGACTTCTTGCTCCCTTGCAGTGCTGCCGCCAACCTCATGCTTTCTCCATCCAGGGACCAGTGGCTGTGCCTCTTCACCTCTCTCCTGTGGAGCAGGTGCTTGTGTGCTCACCCTGGATGGATACAGATGCTTGTGCCACCCGGGCTTTCACTTGCACCCTCGCCGCCTCACCTGCGTTGGTACGTTGACATCTTTTTTGTTTTGAGAGGTGAGCCAGGAGATGCGGGGCATTGGAGCCCCACAGAGTGCAGCAGGCAGGCTGGCATGTGAGGCACTAACAGTTCTGTGCAGCACTGACCTTAAATCTCCTGTGTAGACTTCCCATTTGGGGAAGCCCATGGAGTTCAGGCTGGAGGGAGGGTCAGCAGGGAGCTGCTAATGGTGACTGCCTTTCTTGCCTGAGCCCAGATGAAGATGAATGCCTGAAGGATCCTTGTGCTGGAAAAGGCCACTGTATCAATAATGTGGGTTCCTATGTGTGCCTCTGCTACTCTGGGTACACCTTGATCGTCTCAGAGAACAAGCAGACCTGTCAGGGTAAGTGATTTGCCATCTAGCCCAGGGCTGCGACCACCAGGAAGAGGAGTAACCTTTGATGGGGGTGGAGGAGAGTCCTGATATGGTGCTTCCCCGGGCAGAGCCTGCTGCAAGTGGAGCAGCTCTTCTCTTGTACCCAGCCTTCCCCACTCCAGAAGGGGATGACTTCAGCACTATTTCCCTCTGTGTTGCCAGATCAGGATGAATGTGACCAGCCCTCTGCATGCCCCGGGCAGAAATGCATCAACACTCCTGGCTCATACCGATGCGAGTGCAAGGAGGGCTTTGTCATGAACCCCAGAGGACAGTGCGAAGGTGAAGCTGCTTGCTCCCTCTCCTCCTGTCTCTACAAACCAGTTCTGTGCAGAGCTGAATACCTCCTGTCACTGCTTAGTTACTCCTCATGGAAAAGAGGATGAATCCACCCATTCTTGCCTGCCTTGCGGTTCCTGTGATTGCCACCTGTCCCTGCCTTGCCCTGCAGGAGCAACAGGCTTTTCTGGGCTGGGAGAGGAGAGCTATCTTTAGATCTTCTCCTATTTTCCCACAGAGAATTCTGCAGCCTGTGCTGGCTTTCCAATTTGGGAAGAGATGGCTGTGCATTTTAGTGTCAGGTTGACTCTTTCACCATAGCCCTTTGCTGCCCAATGTATTGAAGGGAGAGCAAGGTGCAGAGACTGATGCCATCTGTCTCCACAGCATCCCATTCACTTGAAATGTCCTGGGCCTTTCAGAGCATTTGATCTTGTGAACATATGAGCTGCCCAATCAAAACTCCCTCTTCTTTAGTAACTTTTTTTTCCAACAGAGTGTGGGAAAATATTTAAGGGTACAATATAGAAATTAGGGTGTGCACAGAATGCTGCCGTCCCCCACACAGCCAGGCTTTAAGGATTTCATGATCAGGAGACTGCATCCTAATCTAGTTATGAAAGTCCCTGGTGAAACAACCCAGCATAGATCCAACACCTCTGTATTTGTAAGCATTTATCTTGACGATGTCCTGTGGCAGTGAGTTGCACTGCTGGATTATTTCAGTCTTCAGGGTTAGGTGCAGGTTCCCAAATAGTAAGTGAGGCTCTTAACAAATATTGCCAAATCCCTGACAAACTCAGCACTCCTGTCCTTGGGAATCACTGTCTTGAAGGGGAACTCTGAGGTTCCAGCCACAGGGGATGTTCTGGAGACACCTGTATGTTTTTTGGATCCTGAAAGGAGTGTGTTTTTTTGGCAGATATCAATGAGTGTGTGGATCCCAGCCCTTGCCCCAGTGGGAAGTGTATCAATACCCTAGGATCCTACAAGTGTGTCAGCTGTCCAGATGGTTATCGGGCCAGGAACGGGAGATGCACTGGTGAGGAACTTGAATACTCTCAGCAAGGCATCCTCTACCCTCATGACTGTGCTGTGACAAGCACAAACAGGGAGGGAGGCAAGTGCCACATGTTTTCCGAAGTGATGGACAGTGTTTATGGCCAGAGCACAGCACCATTTTGGTTTGGGCAGTTGAGATGGCCCAGGAGATCTCTGATCACCCTTGCCGTGCTCTGAGCAACCTTTGCTATGTCATGTAGATGTGGATGAGTGCCTTGTGGAGGGGACCTGTGCTCATGGACACTGTGTCAACCTGGACGGCTCCTTCCGTTGTTCCTGCTACCAGGGCTACGAGGTGGTGCCTGATGAGAAGAGTTGCCAAGGTACTGGGGAGCTCTTAGTTTAGACCTGTCATCTCCCTCAGAAGTGTCATGCCCCCAATCCAGAACTTTTCTTGGGCTCTTCCTGGATGCTTGTCTCTGCAAGTGCCAATAATGGGCACTAAGCCTCTGGCCCCAGTGTTGGCCTGTTCCCTCAGCACAGCTGCTCCTGGCTCCCCTGTTCCTGGTCCCCCCATTCATGTTTTCCCTCCATCCTTCCCACTTATCCCGCGTGTGGATTTATGCAGACATCAACGAGTGTACAGCAGTGGCTACCTGTCCCTCTGGACTGTGCCTCAACACCGAGGGCTCCTACTCCTGCGTGACTTGTGATTCTGGCTATGTCGTCTCCAGCGATGGCAGCACATGTAAAGGTATCTCCTAGGCACAGAAGAATGGGTGCTGGGACAGTGAATTCCCAGGAAAGGGAGGGACACAGCCATAGCTGAGTTACTGGTGGGGCCTGAAGATTTATATAGTTTCACAATCCTTCTCTAGATCTTTACTGTTCAAGGGCTCTGGTGTGCCAGGTATGTGCGGTAGAAAGTTAATACTACATGAAAGGGACCCTTGTGAGAGGGCCCACTACAGTTTCAGCCCTACAGCTTGACTGCCCCAGCACAGACAGGAAAAACTCTCCTATCCCTGACTGCTGACTCCCAGGGAATGTCCTGGGATATCATTAGAGTTACCTCAAGCAGGTTCCATATTTTGGGCAAGGGAAGGAAGAGGACAGAGCTGGCAAAGCTATTTGGTTAAAGATAGTCTAATGGATGGAGAATGTCTCTCTAGAGAGCCACGGGACTCTGCAGCCTCCGCATAGGTGGCAGACACTGTCCTGGAGGAGTTTGCCTTTGATGTGAATCTCTGAAGTTTTCTTCTGTATGGAGACTTCCAGTAAGATAAAAAATGGTGCCTTCCCCCCTCTCTTTTCCTCTGTATTGGTAGCTGAGAAATATACTGTGAAATGGTGTCACTTTCCATCTGATTTTTAGGTGAGATGGAAAGAACATGCTTTCACAGAGTCCCAGAACAGCGGGAGTTCCAGGGACCTCTAGAGATCATCTGGTCCATGCCCCCTGTTCTAGCAGGGTCAACTAGAGCAGGTTGTCCAGGACCTTATCCAGCTGGGTTTTGAAAATCCCTGAGGATGGAAATCCCACAACCTCTTTGGATAACCTATTCCAGTGTTCAGCTGTTCCCACAGTGAAGAAGCATTTTCTTGTGTTCAAGTGGATTTCGCTGTGTTTCAGTTTGTGCTTGGATTTGGTCCCTTCTGTATACCCTCCCCCTTTTCCAAGACTCCATATGATCCATTTCCCAGCCACCTTGCCCTGGCTATGTCACAAGGGCTCATTATCAGGGTTTGGTGCTGTTCGGGTCACACTGACCCAATGGCAGGATGGCATGTTCTTCCCTTCCTCAGCTGGTGGCCTTGTCTCTGGATCTGGGTTTTGTATTTGAAGAATGATAAGGGTTTTGTGATAGTTTTGTGATAAACTAGGTCATGGTTCATTTCAAAGGGATGCAAGAGCATCCCTGTTGCTTGCAAACCTTCAAAAATGAGCAGTTTGGTACTATCTTGCCCTGGGGTGATAGGGAGCAGTGATCACTTACGCTTTTAGCACGCTCAGTGCTCTACAGAAAGGAAGAGAAGGTCCCTGCATTGAGTGCCAGTCTCAGTGCTTTAGCTTCTGGCAGGACAGAATGGTAGAATGGGACCTTCTCCGCCAGCATGTCCTCTGCTTCCTAAACTCCAGCTCTCCTTCATTCTGCCTTGCTCATGGTTTCTGAAAAGGAGAGCAAAGCCCTTTTAGGTATCTGTCCTGCAGAAGGCGAAGCAAGGAACATTGCTGCTTTGAAGCTGAGCATCGAGACTTGTCTTCTGTCCTTGCCTCGCAGCCACATTCCCTATGGACTGCACAGCCCTCCATTAGAGGGAAGGCATCAACTCTGTCTTCTCCTGTGAGCAAAACCTTCAGAGTCTGAGCTCTGACTAAGGCCTGGGGAAGCAGAGGTGAGAAGATTTGCTGGCAGCTCTACAGCTGGATAAGAGCTGATATAGATCCCTGCCTTTGTACAGAGAGGCATCATAGGCAAATGTGGCTGGTAGGAAAGCAGAGCCAGGGAAGGTGTAGCTGGTGCTGGGTTGATGTCTGCTCTTGCGCAGTTGACTAAACAGAAGGTTTGTAAGCAGCCGTGGCTCTGCGCCGGGCTCCTGGTGGTCATGGTAGCCAGAGCAGAGCTCCAGTGGAGGTGGATGCTGAAGCTAGTATCGTCGAAGTTTGTCTGTGAATGCCGGGTGTGGTGGGGATCTTTGCCAGCAGTGGCTGCAGCTGGGGCCTCACTCTCTACTGTGATTTTCTGTTTGAACAGATGTGGACGAGTGTGAAGATCCTGCTGTTCGGTGTGTGGGGGGAGAGTGCAGGAATACTCCAGGCTCCTATGAGTGCCACTGCCAGACTGGCTTTGAGCTCATCAACAGCACCATGTGTGAAGGTACAAGTGACATCCCTGCAACCCTCTGAGTACCCAACATTTAGCATCCTCATGGATCTTGCTTTTCTCTCACCAGGGAATATTCCAGTACCAAATCTGGTGATGCCTCCATGCTGGGCACACCCATAGGGTGGCCAAACACAAGGGCACCATGGATGGGGAAGACCCTCCCTTTTCTCAATGGCAAGAAAGCCAGGGGGTTCAGGCGCCCTGGAGAGCTGCCTCTAAGGGACTGTGGGGGACTATCCACATGCCTTGGGTAAGGGATGTTTCCCAGATCTGAGTGCATGGCTTTGATTCTTCTCCCTCTGCAGATGTGAATGAGTGCCTGAACAGTGAGATCTGCAGCCCCAATGGTGAGTGTCTCAACAGCCATGGATCCTACTTCTGCATTTGTGCTTCTGGCTTCTCAAGTGCGGCTGGTGGAGTCAGCTGCCAAGGTGAGCTGGCAAGTGGCAGGAGCATACCTCAGGTCCTGCCTTTCTCCTCGGCCCCTGTTGTAAGAGCCCAAATGACTTTTTTTTTTTTTTCCTGTTCTTGCAGAGGTGGATGAATGCGCAGACAAGTCCCGGTGCTTGCAAGGCCAGTGCCTGAACACAGAAGGCTCCTACAGGTGTCTGTGTGAGAATGGTTTCAAGCACTCCCAGGAGACTGATGACTGCATAGGTGAGAGTTCATCCTGGGGGAGATCACACCCCTGAGACACAGAGGGAAGGATGTAACCTCTGTCTGGTGCAGGGATGGAGCATCCTGGTTCCCATGTCCAAAGTTGTTGATGACTTCTCAGTAGCTCAGGGTTTCCAGCAAACTCAATTTGGTTGAGGCTCTGCAGTGGGCGAGCAGGGTCCTTATTTGACTGCCCTTGTCCCTTTGCACTCTTTTGGAACCTCTTGGCACTGGCCTGCAGACGTGGATGAGTGTGAAGAATATGGGGATGCCATCTGTGGTGCATGGAGGTGCCAGAACAGCCTGGGCTCCTACCGTTGTATCATGGGCTGCCAGCCTGGTTTCCACTGGACCCCTCTGGGTGACTGCATTGGTGAGTACAGCTCTGGGTGTCCCTCTCCCTCTCTCTGTCAAGGGCAAGGTGGCTGCGGGACATCTCTGCCAGGGGTGTGGGGGTAGAAGACAGATGAGGAAGCGCGTGGCCAGTGGAGAAGCAGATAATGCTGAGAGCTTGTTTTCCTGGCTGAGCTGCCTGCTTATGTCTAGACTTTTCTCTTCCTGGCATCTGGAACAGACACAGCATTGTGTTGCTTTCTCTCTCGGGGAGAGTCCTGGGCAGGTTACAGCCTTTCCAGGGCTAGGGCTGGACTCTAGCCCCCCGAGTAAGCTGTGCTTGCTGGATCTACTGCCTGTGCCAGTCACTTGGCTGGGGTGGGTGAGAGGAAACACTGCTGGTACCACAGCGTGTTAGGTTTGGGAGTCTGATTTGGGAATTCAGGCTCCAGGCCCAAGCAGAGGGAGAAGAGCAAAAGGGGGTGCAGTTTTAAGGCTCCTGTTTCTCAGGAAAGGCTGTGATTAGGAGGTGTAGCTGCCAAACACCGGCCTCAAGGCTGTGTCAGCACTTGGAGCACATGGAGCTGCTCCTGGCTTTGGGAGCAATGGACTGTGGGCAGGCGGCTGTCCTGGCTGCTCCAGGGACTCCTCCCTGATACAGTGGCAGGAAGGGAGTGAGGTGCAGCCAGAGGACTCGGTCACAGCCATCCAGTCTTCTGGGCTGGAGCAAGGCAGAGATCCCTCCCTGGCTTTGTGGCACATGAAGAATGACCAAAGTCAGCATGGTCAGAGACAGGATGGAAACATCCTAGATTTGTCTGCTCATTCCCACCCCTCTGCAATTGCCCTGCACACTCAGTGTATCCTTGTATCTCTTGCTGATGTAAGCCTCAGGTACCACTGCCACTCACCTCCTCCACTTCCCTTCCATCTCCTGTTCCCACCTTGCTTTGTCCCACTACCCATCTGGCCTATCTACAGCTCTGGGTGTTGCGGGAAGCTGCTCTGACACACACATAGTAAGGGAGTGAGCAGGGCAGCCAGACCCAATCCTTCACACCAACGTAATGCCTGCCCTATTCCCTGTGGCTTGGGATCAGAGCAGAAGTGGATGGGCTGGAGGAGTCCCTTGTAAGAGGTGGTTTCTAGGATGATTCCTGATCTCTCTTCTTCTGCAGACATAGATGAGTGTGCCAATGAGACTCTCTGTGGGAGCCACGGCTTCTGTGAGAACTCAGATGGCTCCTTCCGCTGCCTCTGTGATCGTGGCTACGAGAGCTCACCCTCCGGGCACTACTGCATTGGTGAGAGACACTTGCTCGAGGTCCTGTCCCCTGTGATTCCTCTATGGATCAGTGAGGACAATCCATTGGCAAATGCTTGGCCAGTGTGGATCAGCTCCACAGCCCTCATAGAGCAGTGCCTCCAGTGTGTAACTCTTCCCAAGACGCAGGCAGGGAGTGTGTCCAGGCATGGAGAATCCTAGACACAAACAAGTCAGTCTTTGTCCCTTTGTTTTCCCATAACACACCATACCATTTGGGCTGCGAAGGAGTGGGGCTCTGTGAAAGAGCCAGTGGTGGTCCTGTTGATACTGAGTGCTTTTCTGTGCAGGAGAAAGGAGTCTTCTTGGGCCTGGAGACTCCAAAGGTGTTAGGTCTTTCAACAGATCCCTAGGGAGAATGGGCAGGATTGAATATAATGAAAACCTTTTTCACCATGAAGACAGTCAAGCAGCAGAAATGATGTCCAGAGAGTCATCTCTGTCTGTCGTGCAGTCTCCATCGCTGGAGATTTTCAAGACCTGCCTGGGTAAAGCCCTGAGTAACCTTGTTTGGCCTCATAGCTGACCCTGCTTTGAGCAGGAGATTGGACTAGAGGCTTACAGGTGTCCCTTCCAACCTGAATCATCCTATGATCCTATGGCACAGAGCAGCTGGAGCTCAAGCTCCCTGCATCCCCTGGGAGCAGAGCAAGATGCACTTGCCAGTCTTGTGTCTAGAGACAGTGTTAACAGAGCTGCCAGCTCTTCCCCAAATGGGGTCCATCTCCTTGTTGATAGGTGACCTGCTGCTGCAGACCATACAGAGACTGTCCCCACTGAGACAGCGTTCCCCAGCGCGCAGAGCAGCCGTGCTCTGGCACTCTTGTTCCACGAACACCCATTGATGCCTCTTGCTTTGCAGATGTGAATGAGTGTGAGCTGATGGTCGCTGTGTGCGGGACTGCACTCTGCGAGAACGTGGAGGGATCATTCCTGTGCCTGTGCCCCAGTGACCATGAAGAGTACAACACAGAGGCCGGAGAGTGCCAGCCACGAGCAGCCATGGGTGAGATACAGCTATGGCAGGAGCAGGGCAGCCCTAGCTGGAGTGAGGTGCAGCTGGGGAGGTCACCAGGAGCTGCCAGGCTTATAAAAGGTCACTCAGGTATGGGTGGGCTTTTCTCTGGGAAGAGCTGGGGAGCCAAGGAGATGGGGATCGGGGAAGGCCACATTGCCGGTGATGATTCTGCTCTGGAACCTCTTGGGTATAGGCTGTTGCAGTGGGATCCTGAAAACCTCGTCCCACCCCTAATTTGCTGTGTTCCAGAGGGCCCCGAGAGACGGACAGAGCATGTCCCTGGCAGCATGGAGCGCAAGCAGTGTTACTACCACATCAGTGATGTTAGCCTGTGTGATAGTGTCCTGGCCAAGAACGTCACCAAAGAAGAGTGCTGCTGTACTGTGGGGGCGGCCTGGGGTGACAACTGTGAGACTTACCCCTGCCCCGTCTTGGGCACAGGTAGGACTGCGGCCTCACCACCCCCTTTCCAAGCCCAGGTAGGGCCAGTTCTCTGCCCATCTGCTCCTGGTCTGGTTACACTAATGATCTTCTCTGTTTTTTTTTTCCCATGTCCCCTTGGCATCTGCCTCCTGGACAGTGGAGTATGACGAGATCTGCCCTCTTGGGAAGGGTTATGTTCCCCAGAAAGACTTGCTCTCTGGAGAAGTCTCTTTCACAGGTACTAGCACTATTTTCTTTCTTTCAGGGAAGAGAGTGATGGAAGTGGAAAGGCTGCAAGGAGATCGAGGCAAAGAACTATCTCCCCAGGGTGGTGGTAGGGAATGCTGATGTCCGGCTCAAAGAAATGGCTGCCTCCCTCCATCCAGAGAAATAAGATTCTTAATATCACTGAGCCATTAGTGCCTCTTCTGCCAGTCTTGCCTCACCGCTGGCAGAGATTCTTTCTTGGTAGAAATCTCCCATATATGTTTCAAATGAGGGCTGGGATCCAGTAAGACATAAAGCCCTTCCAGTTGCTGAGCCAAATCCCTCAATGGGTGGCTTCAAGACACTTTACTTCCAGGGATTTTTTTCTTGACCTTTTGGAAATATGTTTGAAATTCCTGTTTGTGGAATGCCCAAAGAGATCCTCTGTCATCTGTTCTCATGCTCTGCTTGTGAGTGCTTCCTTATTTGCTTGCAGGCGTAAGGCAGGTGGAAGAGGAGAGCTCACTTTGGGGGCCTGCTGAGGCCAGGCTGAGATGTTGTGCAAGCTTCTTCAGGCATAGAGTCCAGCACGGCTTGCTACCATGGCTCTGGTACCTGAAACACTCTCTCTCCCTCCATCTCTCTCTCAGATATGGATGAATGTGAAATATTCGGCTCTGAATTCTGCCGCAACGGACAGTGTTTGAACACGGTGCCAGGCTACAAGTGCTTTTGCCGAACAGGCTACTTCTATGACTCTAGCAGGCTTGAGTGTGTTGGTAAGATGGTCCTGAAGAGCAAAAGGGGTCCATGCTGTGTGAGAAGGGTCAGCAGTGCTACTACATTCGTTGTTGTCCCTGCCGTCTGTGTTGTAGGGTCAGGTCTGGCTAACAGCTTCCTGAGACCTTCCTAGGGGAATGGGGGAAGAAGTGGCAGAGACCCCCAGGGCAGAGGTTAGCTCCTGTTGCCCATGCTTGCCAGCCTGAAAAATTGCTCTCTCCTTGTGCATTGACAGATCAGGATGAGTGTCAGAATGAAGTGTACTGCATCAATGGAGAGTGTCTGAACACAGTTGGCTCCTACCACTGCTTCTGCAGCCTCCCCCTTGTGCTGGATGCAACCGGCAATCGCTGCGTGAACCTCTCTAGCCAGGCAGGTAAGACTGTGCCCTGCTATCAACCTGCCTTTACCCCTAACATCTTGCCCTGCAGCTGAGCGCCTGCAGAGACATCACCAACCCCAGAGGCTGCTGACAAGGGAACAGGGAGTTGGGGTTCAGTGTCAGGCTGAAGGATTTGAGCACCAGGCCCAGTCTGAAGGCCAGGATACGGGTTACGTGATTGTCTCTCTCTAGACATGTGGATTGCGCCTTCCTTGCACCTTCCAGCATCTTTGGCTTGTGTCACTCTCAGATGGCCTGGACGAGTACGAAATCCACTTGGATGTGTGCTGGCAGACAGTCTCTGACTACATCTGCCAAGACCTGCTGCATGGGGAGCAGACCACGTACACCGAATGCTGCTGCCGGCTTGGTGAAGCCTGGGGTCAGAACTGCGCGCTCTGCCCACACAGGTCATCTGGTGAGCATGCATGGGCATGGGCAGTCAGTCCCGTGGCAGAGGTGGGGACAGGTTGTGCCAGCTATGGTTGGCCATGTACGACTGCAACTGTGGCTCTTCTCATTTTCCTCATTGCCAAAGTTGTCCCAAGGGCTGAGATACAATAGTGGAGTAGGATACAGGTGAAAACTGAGTCCAAGGTGTTTGAGAGGGGAGTGCCTCTGTGCTCCATATAGCTCCTCTTCAAGCTGCACAAAGTCCAGTCCTGCTCAGTTTAGAAGTGCAGCAGTGCCTGGAGGGGACATGAACACACTGGGAGTTTGGGTTCACTGTTCAACGGCTCCCTGGCCCCAGACAGTAGCCGGTCTCCTCAGAGACACGGTCCCCACCAGCAGGTTACAGAGATGAAGAGTTGGAGCCCTCTCCTACTGAATGCAGGCCTGCCTTTGCTGGCTTCATGTGGACATGCTGTTGCCAGCTGTAGGAGACCTATCTCTATTGAGCCAGGCTATGCTAACCCTTTTTTCTCACTGTTTGTAGCTGATTTTTCTTTCCTGTGCAACGGGGCCAGTGAAGACAGTGAGAGAGAGGCTGATCTCCGAGAAAGGCCTAGGTATGAGTATGGACCGAGTTTGGAGGATTCACACTATGGCCTTACCAGTCCAGATATGGGACCCTATTACAACTACCTGGAGTCTGAGTATGCAAACCCTGATGCCAGTTTCCCTCGGAGAGAACCCAACAGTGAATTTCGTGGCAGCCCTTTTCACCATGGCCCAGTCCAACCCCTGCCACGCTACCTGCCCAGCCAAACCGGTGAGTACTGGGAGACACAGAGAGGTGCCTTCCAACCTAGCATGTATCTGTGGAACTGCCTGGCAGGTGCCACCCCAACAAGGCGCTCCAGCTTTGGAGTGACCTCTCTCTGCCTGCTGCGCTTTCAGACGCTCTGAGTTTGTTTTAGCCTCACCAGCGCCATCCCACCACCTGCCTGGCATCCCCTCTGTGGGCTGAAGGAAGGTCGCCCTGCTCTTACACCACCTTGACATCCCACAGGCCGCTATGAGGGCTTCGAGGGGCTGCAGGCTGAAGAGTGTGGGATTCTCAATGGCTGTGAGAACGGACGTTGTGTGCGCGTCAGGGAGGGCTACACCTGTGACTGCTTTGATGGCTTCCACCTGGACATGACCCGCATGGCCTGCGTGGGTGAGTTGCTGCAGAGCCTGTCGGCCCCAGAAGGGGGTCGGCCCCAGAAGGGGTACAGGGCCTTCCCGACTCCCTTCTGTGGAAGGCAACATGGCCTTGGCATCTCTTAGCTGCTGCCGCTCTCTACTGGTGTTAGCTGGGACAGTTGTCGGAGGATCCAGAAAAAGTATTCCCCGCTTTCCTGGTGCTTCATTCCCTTAGAGCTGGGAAGAACTTCCTAGTATTCATCCTAGATCTTTCTTGCTGACAGCTAAATCAGTGCATCTTAGTGCAATAGTGAACATGGGGAGCAGCTGATCACACCCTGCTTCATATAGTTTGCTTCATATAATTTTCGTAATTAGTAATGACCGGCCACTGTTGCTATATCCCTGCTAAGTCCTCTCTGAATTCACCACTACTTTGCACTCTGCCCTGTGAGCCATGGCCCCTAAAGCTTCCTTATTCATCTCCTCTGCATCCGTGCATCTTGTCTCCAGCCCTCGCACAATGCAGCTGGGCCCCGGGCACTCAGCGGGGTGGACAAACTCTCCTTCCTTAGCCACGGCACTCCCTGCAGCTCCCAGCATCCCTTTGTTGTGTGACACAATCATGCAAGTAATTCTTACAAAGCCTGTGGCCTCTACTTCCCCAGATGCTGCTGGGCATAACAGCTTCCTAACCCTTTATTCCCCATTCTGCATTTGTGCACTATGTTTCTTTTTCTTCATAGTTGTCCACAGTGCTTCATAGTTGTCTTCAGCGAATTTTATCTGGTTGATTTTTTTGGACTGTTTCTGTGCTTTATCAGAGTAAGTCTGAACTTTGGGCCTCCTCTCCAGAATATTTACAATTTGAGATAACCACACATTTCATAGGCATTTCCTTGTCCATGCTAATGACAGTATTGAATGGACTAGGGATCTGGACAGACCCCTGCAGACTCTACTTTAAAGGACCTTTATCTGAGCAGCCAGCTCTTCCTAATTTGCAGCTTTGCAACTCTTTGTGCAATTGCTGTAGTTCTATGGAGACCATGTTTTCTTACTCTGCTTTAGAGTGTCATGTGAGAGTGTGTTGAAATCCTTACCATGGCCAAGACATATCACACCCACTTGTTCTCTGCGAGGCTAGTTATCAGGTCAGTGAATTGAAGCAGCTTGGTTTAACATAATCAGACCTTAACAGATCTTCACTGGCAGCTTAATGACCTCAATATTCTTTGGAGGGAAGAGAGTTTTGACCTAATCACTCAGTGATTAGGTGCTATAGTGAGTAAGGGTGAGTGGTCTGTAATTTGCATTCTTCCTCGTCTTTGAAGAGAACTGTCCTGTTACCTTTCCTCATGTCTCTGGGATCTCCTTTATCCTCCATCTCAGAGAAAACCACTAACTTTTCAGGAACTTTTGGAGCATTAAGTATTTGAAGATGATTTTCAGTAGGTCTTTAACGATATGAAATGCAACTATTTTATGTAACTGGTTCCTGAGCCTACCTCTCACAACGTTGCCTGTGCTCTTGTGCCTTCATTTAAACACTTTAAACGTGGTCCACACTATGTCTGATCCCAATGAACATTTTATGGCTGGAACAACATTTTGGCTGGAACAAAGCCTGTGTTAGCTGTGCTATCTGGCTCAGCATTGTCTGGCTTTTCTTTCTTCCTCTGATAAGGAGCAGACCTACATTTTTCCATTGTTTCCTGCTAATGTATTTATAGAGCCTTTTCTTTTGCCCTTTGTGTCTTCTCTTAACTTGCAGCCATTTTATACTGGAATGATTCTCATTTTTTCCCTTCGGTTCCTCTACAATGGTGCTTACTCACACACCTTGCTGCATTCAGGACTTTAAAGCATTTCTGGTGCTGTTGTCTCTCTCTTCTGTATTGCCCTTGTCTCTAAGTGTGGGCTGGATCCCCCCAATTCCTCTGTCCTTTGAGGCAATACGGCTATCCCTGTATACTGGGGACAGTGTCTCCTGGGACACTGAAAGCCACTGCCCTCTTCAAGCGATGAGGCTCACTCTTGGAGCCACACACTACCAACAGCTCTAGTGCTTCTGACTTTCCGATGCTTTTGCTCTGAAAAGCTCTAAAGATGCTTTTGCTTGTTCTAGTCCTCCCCCTGATTTTGCGGTCCATGGCCAACCCTGCGGCAACATCCTGCCTGCTCTTTCCCCTTTTATATTTCCCTGGAGACACCAACAAGGCCGTCTTCCACCCCTTCGCAGCCTGCAGAGTCTCCTTGGACAGCACTTCATAGACAACCTTGCTATATTGGGGCCTGCTCTTCAGTTTGCTCCCTAACATCCTTTCCTCCTTGGACTTCTAAGCAAACCTGTCGCATCTGTGCTGATGTTCCAGTCCTGTGCTTATTCCGAGACTGCCAGTTCAACCATTGCTTCGGTTTCATGCTAAGGCTGCCTTACTCCACTTGACATGTGAGAGTCTTCACATCTCACATTTCCCCTTTCTATTTCTTGTCCCTCCTGCACCTGCTGTAATTCCCCATACTGCACCTGCAGGCTTTGCTTCAAACCTTAATCCCTAGAGCTCTACTTCCCTCTTTTTGACAGGTGGCCCATCTGTGCAGAGCCCCAGTCATGCTAAGGTGACCTAAGGGCTCGTGGGTGTGCAGAACTGCTCAGGCCTCCTGATGTCTGTCTCTGCTCAGTCTTTTGCTCTCACTTGGGTGGACTGATGAATCAGTTGTGCCTCCTCCCTTCACTCTTCTTCCCTGGGGTTTGGAGTCACTGCCAGTCTGCTCAGGGTGAGGCTGAAGTTTGTGGTCAGATGGGAATTTGGGGTTTGGGCAGGCATTTCAAGGTCCTATAGTTGCAATCAAGGGCTCTGAGACAGACAGGAACCATTTTCCCAGCTGGTGGCCTCTCCACACGTCAAAGTAGTTTAGAGACTGTCCTGAAAGCTGCCTTCAGCAGAGCTAATCTGCAGCTGGTGCAGCTGCATGTGGGGCTCCCTGCTGTGAACAGCTGGCCTAGCGGCAGAGCGGCTGGATGAGCACTTTGGCCCAGTTTACAGGTTAGTAAAACAACCCCTTGTTTGCACAGCGCAAGGTTCCTTTGTGTTCTGGTCCTGGAGGTGATAATCAGCCTCTCAGGGTCACTGTCATGTGCCTCCCCCAGCCTTTAAGATCAGGAAAGGGCATTTTCCAAGGCTGGAGTTGGCCTTTCTCCCAGATCTTACGCTGTAGGACAGCTTGTTAACAGAGCAGAGGGAGCTCTTGTGTTCCTTTGGGTGGTCCCCAGCTCCATATCGTGCTGGCGGGCACCTTATCTGGTGTGGCTTGCTGAGGGGGATGGAGGGGAGGCTCTGTCTTAACGCTGGGGATGCCAGATGCTGGGGACATCACACTTGGTGGGGAAGGGGGCTGCTCTGGAGCAGTGCTAAACAGGGTAATGAGGCAGGAGTGGGGAGAGGAGTGCAGTCTGGTGTGATGGGTGCAGGAGGCTGGGGGGGTCATGGTGGCAGCCTGGGGGTGCTGGAAGAACATAGAGGCTTGGAGAGGCTGGGGGAAACTATGGAATTGGCAGCAGCGCAGGCAGATGCTGGCTGCTTGCTGTGTGGGGAGCGGGGCATCCTCACGCAACCAGCTCACAGCCCTTCTCCTTACAGACGTTAATGAGTGCGAGGAGGTCAGCAACCCGGAGCCTCTGTGCCATGGTGGCACATGCGAGAACACGGAGGGCTCCTACCGCTGCCGCTGCTTTCCGGGCTACGTGGCCCTGGCCCAGCCCCACCACTGTGTGCCCCAGACCGCCCAGAGGCCAGCGGCAGCGTAGCTCTTGGAGAGCTGCAGGTGAGGGTGCTCCCTTTGGCACTCTGCTCGTGGACCTGGGACCTGGCAGCACAGAGAAGGGCCCAGTGTCTGCATGTGTACTGGCCAGGGCTGAGCGCCGAGCCTCTGCAGCCCCCATCCTTCCTGGCCTCACTGCCAGCTCCTGCTTCTGCCACAGCAGAGCCTCCCTAGCTTGCACCGCCTCCCCCCGCAGAGGCCTGCAGGGCACCTTCCCCTGTCACATAGTCCTTGTCTCCTGCCCTCACTGCACAAAAATCTGGTTCATTCCCCCACCAAGTGAGCACCACTGCTGCACTGACCTAGGAACAAGCCTTGTCCCCCCATGAGTGCTCACCCCCTCGCTCACTACGAAGACCCTGCCCCAGGCCAGAGCAAGGCGGGGGTCAACCCCAGCTTTCTGAAGTTGCTGCCTAACCTTGAGACACGGTCTGGAGCCTGCTGGGTCCCCACAGCACCTCTCCCTGCAGCCGTCCTGGACACATCCGTACCCCTGCACTTTGCCTTCATGCCTTGTGCTGTCTGAGTGGGTGGGAGGAAGGGCAGTTCCAGTTTAGTTTCTGTAAAGTTGTTGGTGACTTTTTTTTTTAAGCGAATCTGCTGGGAACTTCTGTCATGTTGTTAAATAAAACATTTATTTTGGGCCCTATGGCTCAAGACACTGGGGCGGTCAGAACTGTGTCTGCCTTCTGTCTGCCAAGGGGAAATGCCTCGTGGTACAAGAGCCATGTCCTCTCAGGAGGTCCAAGTCTGGCAAGGCCCATTCATCATTGCAGACTGATTCCTGCCCCTCTCATGCTGACAACTCGTCTCCTCTTACTTATGGATAAGAGTGCCTTGCCAGGCCAAATACTTGCTTATCTCACCTAGGCCCCTCCCAGCTGCAGGAGCCAACTCCAGCCCATGCAGACTTATAGCACATATGGCCTCTTCACAGCCTGCCTCATGCACTTAAAAGGCTGGTGCACTTTAAGCATTGGTCTCCATATTCCCCCAGTTGGCAAGAGGCCTTGAGGTTTGGGAGTGGCTTTACAGGTCTCAAGAGCTCTTGCTGGAAGACTGGCCCTTATCCATGCAGCAGGAAGCAGGGCCATGTCAAAAATAATCATGTCTTTGGAGAGCTTCTGCACTGCTTCAGGTTAGTGCAGGACGAGCAGGGCAGGAGCAGAGACAGACATTGTCCCAGCAGTCAGCAGCAGAACAGAGGTATGAGCTGCCCACAGGGCACCCTCACCAATGCTAGGATGCTGCAGGGAAAGCATGGCCATCATCCATGTCTTGAACTGAGAAATAAGAGCTCCATGGTCTCCATTTCTCCTCCTTCCCTCCACTCACAGAAAACAACTTAGGCAAGTTTTGTTTAGCCTTTATTAAAAGGAAAGCTATAAAAATAGATTGTGGAGCCCCCAGCAGCCCCAAGTTAGTAGGTAGTGCAAACCATTGGTTAGAGAAAGAATCATCCCTGCAGAGACACCAAACGCCATTGGCTTTGCATCCACCAAAGAAAGTTTTCCCAGCCGCAGATCTGCCAGTGGCCAGAACAGACGAGGTTGCCAGCTCAGGGAAAAGCCTCCTCTCCTTCAGCTGTGTGGATGGTAGGCACATGTCCCAGGAGCACTCTGGTCACCACAGCAGGAGAAATGGAGGATGGATACAGACAGCATTCTACAAGAGGCACTGAAGGGTTACCAGGTAGCAGCTTAGATACTAGCCAGTTTCATTGCAGAGAGAAATTTCTTTTGTGAGGGGGAGAGAGCTCTGTTTCAAGAAACTAAAGCACTTTCCACAGAGCACATGGAAAACAACGCCTAATATTCAGTCACACCTGCTACAGTAGCAGACTCTGCTCCCCAAAGTTGTTGTCAGAATACTCCAGGGGACTCTCAGCTGGGATAAGAGCCCCCTACCCACTGCTGACCTTGCAGGAACACAGTAGTGGCTGCTCAGAGGCTGTAAAGCTCTCAAGGAAGCAGTAAGAAATGCTTATTACATAGAAGAATTTGGTCTGTGTAATCTTCTCTCTGTTTGTCCCCTCCCCAAGCCCTGCTAACTAGGGCTCCTCAGCTGGTGATCTGCACCGGTATCTTCCAACAGAACAGCATCTGGTCTTGATCGTCTACTAGTACCCACTTCACAATCAGCTTAATCTGGAAGAGAGAGAAAAGAGAACAGAGAAGTGAGTATGTTTGGAAAGGGAAGGACACAGGGTAGCTTTGCTTGGTTTGTGGAACAAGGAAGAGGCCTTAGGAGCTCTGGGCAGACAGCTGCCTCAGCTGCAGTAGGGAGGTCACACTCGTGCAGCAATTCTGGAGTATCCTGCATGCACGGAGAGATCTGCAGCGCAACACAAGATACTTGCACAGTGTGCACTGATGCCCCCACTCTACGAGTTAAGTGGAGAGGGAAGCAACTTTCCCAGCTGAGCTGTGTCCGGAAGCTGAACACGCCCAAACTTGAGTGTTTAAGCTGGACGTAGCAGGTTCTGCAGAGGCAACAACCAAGCAGAGTACGAAAGTACAAAATGCTTGGGCAGCTGAAACAGCTTCCCTGCAGCTGGACCCAGGCTGCTTCTGCCGGCTCTGTCCCAAAGCAGGAATTAGAGATGAAGCTATGTTCGCATCAGAAGTGACACCAGCAAGTTTTTCTAGCCTTTTCCTCACTGCCACAAGACAAGGTCTCCTTCCTTAAAGGCAGGCTGCAGGACTGTCTGGGGAAGGACGATAGCTCAGAGGAGCTGACCGGCCTCTGCCTTACTTACACTAGGGTACTCGCTCTTCACAGGGAGTTTATTCAGGTAGCTGTAGGAATGGCCCTTCTGAATGGGGCACTGGATCCCAGACTTGCATCCATCAGGCTCAGGAATGGGAAAGGGTATATCCACATGCAGCATCTCCCCATACACCTTTGCTTGGCTGCCCTGGCTCTCGATTTCTGCAGAACATGGAGAACCAGGAGTGACACCAGGGCAGAGAAAGCATTTCCACATTCTCATGTCCTCAGCCATCCCCCCCAGCTTGCCTGGAGATGGCAGGGAACACAAACAGGCAGTGCTCTTCCTCCTTCTTCAACTACTTCGCTGCTACTTCTTCCCTTCCAGAGCCCCCATCCAACCATCCTTCCCCAATCCTCCCCAAACACTTAGGTACAAAGGGATCCCCTCCCCTCCGGCTGTCCCATCCCTCTGCACAGGACAGCACAAAAACTTCTACCCCCCAACACCTGAGGCCTAGAGGAACTAATTCTTACTGCTGGAGAAGGTAACATTGATGCTGTAGGATGTCCCCTTGTGGAGCTGGCACGGCTGTGTGGGACAGGGGCTCACGTTCACTTCCTGGATGCTTCCATCTTTGGAACCTGCAAGAAAGAGCAAAGACTTCTTGTGTTAAGGCCTTCTCCAGGCAGCAACATCGGGTCCTAACAGGCTACCCGGGCCCTCAGACAGGCACCCCAAGGTCCTTGGTGCGACAGCCGGGGCATCGCTCGGCTCCGGCCCCGGTCGGGCAGGCCAAAGCACCAGGCGCGCTGGA